CATTTTCTGGAGAAGCCTTCAGTTAAACCAGGACTGTTTAATTTTTTACAAAGGCACTGGTACTCATAGTGGATACGTTGTGTGAACCAAAACAGTTACCCAATTTTTGTTGGAAGAAATAAATGTAAATGGATAACAATTAAATTACGAAAATCATTTCTTATCAGCAATCCAGGCAAAAGAATTTCTAACATGGTAGCTTTATTTGATTCATTTGCAAAACAGCACATCCTCGCCCAGCCGGAAAACAACTGCCGACGAGCAACACAAGTTGTGTCGGCGCATTGTTTTAATTGACAGTGTTGTGTGAATATTCGGGATGCTGAGAATCTCAGGTTTTAAAATATGGTAAATAAGGAGAGTACCGTCCCAGTGATTAAACGTTTTCTGTCATGAAGCATATGTCACAGTGAAAAACGTGTCGACCCATCAAGATTGAATAACTCCCCGGTAGGCAATGAAATGCCCGTGTATTACTATGATTACTATTTGAATACTCCTCCTTCTTGATTGATCTTGCTTTGCCTAATACCTGATCATAACAATTGGATTGCCGACATAGAGAAGAGCAATAAGTCACAGTTAAAAAGCAATCGCCCAGAGAGATTTGGGATCTAGTTTACATCACTATCACATAACATTCAGGTTATGTTTAGGAATAAACAAATCATTCCCTTTAGAAAATGTGTTTGAAAACAATTTTAGAAGGTGAGTTTTGGTAGGACCATGAATTCTTCCAGCTGTTCGTCAAAGTACCCTCACTGTGGAGGGGCTAGTTGTGTGTAGAAATATATATGACCGATGCTCGATTCATATCAGCCTTGATGTATAAGTATAAAAAATGCGCTGAAACATGTTACTAAAAATCACATTATTTTCCAGTATTGAAGAAATCTGCTAACTTACTGACTGTTAGTTGACCTTTCTGTTGCATTACTTCACGTCAAAAGAAATGTGTATAAATTCACGAACGGGAACAGTGTCTGAATAGTCAAACTACGCCTAACTTGAAAAGTGAAATATTGGTCAAACAACGTGAACCACAATGAATCATAATTTATGATCTAACGGATAAGCCAGATGATATTTCCCATAAAAAAATCGTTGATGACTCTGAACATTCAACTTATTATACTAACTACTTTGCGGTCCGAAAACTTGATCTGCACAAATAATGTTCAAGTGACAATCTAATTACTTATAAACCGTGGGTGGTTTCAGAGTCCAGTAATTATTCTCCCTGCGAAAATTTACGACTGATATCACTAAATCATTTACTCGAAAAAGCACTAAAATGTAGCGTTTTTTGGTGGACAAATTTCTCGTACGTTTTGCTGAGAATAAAGCAGCTAAAATTCTGAAGAAATCCCTTTTAGCTTACGTCGACCTAGAGTCTCAAAATCTGTGGACATCAATACAAAAGCAATTAAAAATAAACAAGTAGCGAATAGAAGATCTGAAAAAAATTTTATAATGAGGTAGAAAAAACAGTCAAATTCCCCACAAAGAAATACACATTCAGTAGACTGGCAAAATTATTTCTTCTGCCAGATAAAAAAATCATCACTCAAAAAACGGAGTTTACGGTATAGTTATATTGCTCAATAACAGCGTAGTTGAAATTGTTGGTAGGATTTCGACGTTTCGGTCACCACGGGTAACCATTTTCAAGATAGGTTTTACAACCGAATGAAACTGGAATGATAGTTTAGAGCAAGTGGATGTTAGTCACACTGTGTTCGTTTGTTGGTCTGTGTGTGCGATATCTCTCGTGAAGGTGAGCCAGATGAATATACTTTCTGTTCTGTCTGTGTGATTCTCGCTGGCCTTATCTGTTCAGTCCAGTTTCTTTGGATAAATTTATCAGGCCAACCGTTGCTAAGTAGTGTCTTCTTTATGTATGATACCCGGGCTTTCAGAGTATCTGCGGTGCAGATATGTTCCGCCTTGTGTGGAATACAGCGTATTAGATTAGTTTTATAACCAAGTGGCCCAAAACTGTAGGAGTGTGAGTACTGGCTACCCCAGGTCGCTTTTCGATACACCTTCCTCTGGATCGAGCCATCAGGTCGTCTGCTTAGGTGTACACCAAGAAAAGGAAGGGAATTATCTTTTCCCATCTTGGTGATGAACCTGAATACGGAGAGCGTATTGTTGAATACGCGAGGTTTATCATCTCAATTAGTTTGTACATCTGTTATGCAAAATATATCATCCACATATCTGTATTAGTGGTCCAGAATAATTATTGTTCTGCTTGTTGCTTGAGTTTCCATGAAAACGTCAGCAAGAAGTGGTCCTAGGGGTGAGTTCATGGCGACTCCATCCTTCAGGCGATAAATAGTGCTGTTGAATACAAACTGTACATTCAAAGTGCACTGAAGAATTAATTATCTTTGGATGATCGTTAGTATTACCACGGGTATCATTTCTGCATCGAAAAGTGGACGAGTAAATCTAATGTTTTATTCAGAGATACATTCGTGAAGAAAGAAACCACATTTAAAGGGAACATTTGCCTTCCTGACATATTCACTTCTTTAATAACTTATGTGCGGAGTGTTTGCTTTGAAAGTTTCTGTAGTACGGATTCTAAAAGACCAACTATCCATTAGGCTGTCTTGTGGTATGCTGAATTTGTCATGAAAAAGACGAGGCGTAGATGCAGTCCAGGTTTATGAACTTTTAGAAGGCTATATATTCAAGGTACTTTGGAGCATACGGGTTTAGGGCTTTCAAAGAGGCTAGGTGGAATGTAGCCTTGGTCTCTGAGGCGTTTCAATTAGTTGGTAATTCCATTTTTTACCTACTCTATTTGATCCTTTTGTGATGCGTCACGAGTGAACTAAGACTGACCACACAAGAGATCTAACACCTTGGCCACGTATGAGGCCGGGTCCATCAAAATAATATCTGATATTCATCTTCATGTACAAGTAGCATAATACCCATTTTTTATGATGAGTCAAAATATTGGTGACACCGCTCAAATCACCACTGAAACCACAGCAATAATTCCTGTCTGATTCACCCAGGCCATTCTTTAGAGGTTCGAGTCCCGGTGAGAGCTAAATAATTCCAACTGCCTAATGTTTCTAACGAGCAAAGGTAAACAGCTATAAAATGCTTTCATGTATCTCAGTGGTCATTTGGGATTCTTGGTATCATAAATATCCCGTCGCTTATAGCATCACCCAAGTCGAAATTGGTTTGAGCTAGATATTCACACTTGGAAAACGCACGGAAGCCGCAGTAGCTTCTGGACGCGTTATATTAGAGCAAAGATTATTGTTTTGCGTCAGAAAATCATTGGATAATGTGACCGTACAACGAAGGACGACAGAATTAATGGGCTAAGTTCTATGGGAAACACAATTGTAAATAATTATTTTTCAATATAGGGGTGGAGAAATTGGACGCATTCAGGTGAATAAAAGGACCAGGTTTATTGAGCTTTTCGCTCATGTAATTCTTAAGTGTTTTGTAGAAAAATATGGAACATCAACACCTACTGAATCACGTTAAGATGGGAATATACTGATCGTTATCACCTATGCGGCTATTTTTATCCAGTCGGAAATTATATTCACCATAGTAAGCTAATCGGAAGAAGATATCTATATATGAAATTTACTTGTGTGTGTCTAATTCGTTGGTGATTTCAAACCATCACGTGCAAACATTGCACAATCCATTTATATTTTTCAAAATATCAGGAAATAAAAGGTTGATTTATATATAATTTGCCAGCCCAAACTTGTCTGCTTAGTCATATGTGGCAGCTACCACGAAACGTAACTAGGAAAATTCCTACAAAAAATGATTGTTGTGCTAAATGCACCACTTGACATGCAGCCAATTTCCGCGAGTCAAAAAACGAGCAAAGCTTCTCCTCCCTGTTTCCTATGCAAAAAAGCTACTATCAAGATTCTTGATAGATGTTCTTATTTTGAAATGGCCCTCCGTTACATGATTTTGGTGTCATAACGTGTGAGTTAGCCCCTGGTCCACCACACAATGAATTCAGCATCAAAGAGCTGAGGGAAAGGAAGTGCAAATAAACAGCCGTATCACTTTCATCTCTCATCTTATATCTGCTCCTTGTGAAAGCACGATAGCGTTTGCTGTCTTCTGTTCGTAATATAAGCAATAAGAATATTTATGGTTAAAAAAATGTGTTTCAATTTTAATCTCACTTTATTGTAACCTCAACAATACACCTTATGAAAATCCGCGGCGCAATGTTGTTGTCCATTTAAAGTGCTCCGAAAGAATTTAGTTGAGCTCGTTTCCGGATGCAAATGCATACCGCCAATTAATTTAAGTAGGGAATACTTTCAAAATATAGGATTCTAATCCACAAAAACTCTTCGCATTCCCAACAACAGTAATATCATATTATTGTTTGCTGTCACGAAGGCTCACATGTTTTGAAAGCGGCTGTAGTTTTATTCGATAGGGGAGTTAGAAACAAACTGGTTTGAAATATTCGTGAAGAAATATGAACATATACCCATATTCAACTCAACTGCATTCTTGCTATACGTATCTTATTCATATTTTTTATTACTTCCTTCAAGCAATGTATACTCGGGGTGCACAGTACTCAGTAGAGAACATGACCAAGTAATTGGTGGCAAACTGTAGCCAACCATCCAAAGGAGAGTTCATATTACGTCAGCGCGAGATCTAATATTTATCGTAATGACCTCTAAACGGTCCTCGGAATATGGCATGCTAAAGAACATTATCTTCTACTCAATGATGTAGTATTGGTAAACCTATCTAAAAATGAATCCAGTCAGTGAAACAGTGGATAAGACACCATTTACAGATTAGCACATTTCAAGTAAGATTGACACCAACCTGTGCTTTTTCCGAACACTGCATGTACGAGAATAACAAAAAATTGTTTTATTTAGTTGTATTGGGATTGGCTTCATTTGTCTGTTGAGTTGAATTATTCATTGTGTATTGATTCTTGGAGCTCAACCGTGAAATCATAATCGGTCAGTGATGGTTTGTAAAGTAGTATCATCCGTGTTTGCGAATAATAATTTCACTTGAGCACCATGCCGGTTTACTACGTTACCGAAAATTCGAAAATGGGAAGTAATTTACTTGAGAGAGTATCCAATTCTGTTCGAAAGAGAAAATAACAGTCTACTTGTAGTGCTAAACACAAGCTTATGCAAAAAGGAGACCATGTCACTCATAATACTTTTTGTTCGAAATTGGAAGGAAATGTTTGCGACAGAAAGCCTTGCTTGCACACATTGTCAACCATGAGAATTCTCCTGGTTGTCGCAATGTTAGGCTGGACCCGTAAGGGTTTCTTTAAGGAACGTAGGTTTTGTTCAATTAGATTCAACTAAGTGGAAAACAGTAGGTCATATTCGGGCTTCTTTACCCACTACTAAGCACCTGCAACGGTGTCATACATAACATGGCTGTGTATAGCAGTTTGCGATAATTCCAATGCACCTAGCTGATGTCAGTGGATTTTATCGTCAGATGCCTTTATCTACGTATACGACAATAGGTACATGGCAAATTGAGAATTAATGATTGTTTCGATAGATTTTTACAATATTTTCAGATTTCAATCTCCGTAAATTACTCAGTATGTCAGGGTCAAACGAGGTTAGGAGTGTATCGAAAAAACAGTACTGCTTGTTGTGTGTTAAACAAGATATAATGATTTGATTGTGAAACTGCCTTGAGAAAGATTACCCGTGGTAACCGGGACGTGGGCCTATAATTTTCCACCGACAGCGCCCTGTTACTGACATTATATCTCGTTTTTCCGTAACTTACTGTTCTTCAACCACTGCAAGGTTTTACCTGAAACGCAGTAGAGAACAAAATACCATAAAAATATTTTTGCTGAGAAGAACGTCTCTAATAGCCAAGGTGAACGACCAGTATACACTGCACACCTGATTTCGTAATGGTTTGTCGGAAAAACTTTTACATCAAGAGGACTGATACTTTTTCTTGTTACTGTGTACTACCTGAGTTATGTGGCCAAAAACAATATGAACATTTCATTTCTCACAATAATGGGATAGTGTACAAAAAGTGTGTTTGCTATGTATAGCCCCATCGTCCTACCAAGGATCGTCGGCGAAATCATCAATGACGTGTATCTGTTTGTCGAAGACAGTACCACCTATAGAGTACAACCACCATTTTTTAATTATTGTATAGCTTTACGTTATGAAAGACTAAAAATGCCACACATAAGACGGTATTCTATCCCTTTGCATTCCCAATAGTTTATTTTGCACAGATATTGCTTGTTATATAACTCATCATCTTTGATACGTTTAAAAAATTGATGAAATGGTGCAGGTTGGTGAAGAAAACTTGTACTTTTACGAGAGACGTCACTGTCGAGATGTCTAAAGGACCGTATCAGATAACTCACGGGATATAGCTATCGAGAGCTCGACTGGGAAGAAAATCGTGAAAGACAGAAAAGTAGTAAAAATTATCATGAGGTATGTGATTTCAATCACACTGATGATTTAGTAGTTGGAATGAATATTTTTTTCGAATATCGATTATTATCCACGAGCTAGGTTCACTGACAACTGTAGCATTTCTCGTTACGAAAGCGGTCATTGCAATTTACAACCATCAGGTTCTCACAAAGGATCCGTGAAATAAGTTCAAATAAATATAGTTGCCAATTATTTCGTGAAATTAGAGTTTTAGCAGAACATATGAAGTATGAAATGCACATTTTGCCTTGGTAAGCATTGACTCGGTAATATTAGGGAAAATGTGTTTGTTAGTAATAGCCCAAGTGCAGTGTTTCTCAAGGCTATTCGATATTTACCGGTCACTTAATGGAAGAAAATGATAAGAGTAACGACGCTTCTTTTTATTCAAGTTGCCATAAACTCATATTCACCAAATGGCTCTTATTGGCTGTGCTTTTTTAGTGGACGTTTCCGGCTTCTAAACAGCATCTTTTGAACCAAACTGCATTTAATGGGTTCTTCTGGCAACCGACAGTCAACGTGGCGGATAGAGTCTTTGGATTGGAGCTACTGGCCATGTACAACAACAGCACCAAAAAGTGCCTGGAGATTCTGCATACTTGACCTCTTTCCATAATTGAAGTTGGGTTTCGTAGTACAGAAATATTATTTGGAGATAACAAGAAAGCGGTGAGTAAAACTGCACTCGGTTGATGTGCTAGGCTCAATATTCACAAACAATTAGATATCATCCCATACCTGCTGTATTACAATTTACCCACTACTTACTCTATTGTTTCATTTTATTTATTTATAACTTTATTTTTTATTTTATTATTGTGATTTAGTCTGTAGTCGTGTTTAATCTCAATCGTTTTATACGTTGTTTCTAAATTTTGATATGTGCTGCCTCCGAGCAGTCCAAAGAGCAGTTTCAATAAGGTGAAGTATATACTTTTGATGATTATCGGTGTTTCACACTCTGTCCGGCAAATGTGGTTTGGCTTTGTTTGAAATGCATATAAAACATCTGTGTTCATGTCCGATTCACAAACCAGCATTGCGCAAAGCAGAAATTTCACAATAGATAGAATTTGGGGAAAAAATTGATTCATCTCTGTTAAATCCCCGGATTTTATGGTTGTGCACAGTTGTGAAGTTCGCTTCTTGGTTCTTGCATGAACAAAAGTTCTGTCATATAGAAGTGATTTCACCACAAAAGGTTGATATACTCGGTGCGATTCACAAAGACGAAGATCACAAACTTCAGCTACTCAATTTCAGCTCATTGGATACGGGAGACTGACAGTATAACGCTGACAGCCTTTTATTTGATATAATTATCGACGAAGGTTTCTCGTGAATTTACCTGTGCTGAGTTACTATTCAGATATAATGTACAGTCACGACAACGGAGGAAATGTACTTGGAAACTTGATCAATACCAACTTGTTTTGAGCTGATAGGTGATAATTAGGTAGCAGGAATACAGTTTTTTTGCTGAAGGAACGGCGGTAATGTAAGTAATAAGTTATACGTACTTTGTGGGGTTTTACTGAAGGATCGTACAAGTCCTGAATAAAATGCATTCATTGGGTGATCCGTGAATGATGGTTTTCAATTTGACCGATTGCTCTTTTGATCAATATGTCAATCTTTTGAAACCAGCTCGCAATGACAATTCCTAACTTTGGAGTCATTCTTTACACAATATACACTTATGAAAACAGTTCGGATAAGCACGAATTTTCGCTTGCCGTAATCTTTTTTGTCGAAATTCAGGAATGATTAGTGAAGTAGGTAGATCTTATCATGACCAGAAAGAAGTGCCCAACAAATATGCAGATTTGCAGGGCAAGCAGGGGTAATTTGAGAAGCCTTGGGTTTAAGCCTGGATGTAAAATTCAACGTGGCACCAGAACTAATACCACTAAACAAACGACAGAAACCTTTGTTGTTCCAATTTACCTGGATCTTAGAAGATGTAATTTGAATATAATCTTTATCAGCAATAAAAATTGTTTAAGCTCGCCTCGGCCAAGCAATATACCTTGAATATTTTTGGCTTTTTTGATACGATAAATAAACGGCTCATGTGCTTCACTCACTTCTAGTTATTCCGGACTTCATAACTGACAGCATTTGGTTAACTGATAAAATATAAAATTTATCTTTGGGCAGTATAATATTCGGTATGATGAATATTTATTGATGCACGGTAAGTACAGATTCCACGAGATGAATAAAAATTCCTCAAGATAATTTTAAGTACTGATTCACCAACTGAAAACACCACTAGTGTTTTGAGAAAAGGTTTTCCTTTAACAAGAGGTTCTGCAAACCCAAAATTGCAAATGAAAATGTTCAACAAATCATTTCTTTGAAATGTCGGGAAAAATAATTTTTCCATCTAGCTGAAATTTTACATCATTACCGAGCGGCAGCTCTTATTTGTATGGATGAAGCACTTTATATAAATCTTCGGGTTCTTGTTTCCAGCTACCTAAAAGTGTAACTTCTGTAACGTACATTTTAGGCGAAGCAATATAGCAGAAGAAGATATACCGATGACCCTCTCTTTTGCATATTCAACCAGAATATCTCTCATTGCACTTTTCTTTGATCGAAAAGTGTCAACTTTAGTCCATAACAATCGGTCACGGATTATTAGACGGTCAATAGTAAGTATGCGGAGATTCTTTTGTCAACCTCATTATTGGTGGAAAACGGATCAGCACAAATTTGCCACAGAAATTTCAGAGTTGCTTTTTCAGCCGTGCAAACTACTTTTTGTATCCGTTATTGTATTTTATCCCTCACAACTGAGGGAAGATTTATTATTGTTTACCTCGTGAGAGTACATCGATTCATAAATAAATGTAACAATTACTTTCACTTAGGTTTCATTCATCTCCGGATGTGTCCGTTTCCAGAGGCCACGGGATGCCATTTTTTTCGTCTGGTATAACAAATTCCATCAAAATAGCAATGGGGACAAATGTACACGTAGAGCCGTGACATCTGCAGTAATCCTATGGGACTTATTTGTTTGATAGGTGAATTGTTGAACGGCCTCACTTGTGAGTTCACAATTAGCGTTACACTGATTTATTGTTTTAGAATATATTCACACTTTTATCTGCATGAAAATTTAGGTAAAATATCAAAGAATCTTCAAAACCACACGCGCTTTGCAACAGTCTTGTTCTTCTTTGATCGTGTCATAGAGCGAAGTGATAACGCCGTTCTATGTTCCCTTCCCACAGTGGAAATTACAAGTGGCACTGTATTTGACATGGAAGGACTGAATGAAACACATAGCAAGAGATACACCAATAACACTCACAATTATTATATGATGTCACTTTACAGTTACTAGAACAACCCTGCTTCTTGGATACACTGAACATAAAAGCTGAGCTCGCTAAGCTTGAAATAATGAGCTACTTTCAACTATTTCAGCATGCATATGCAATGGGAAATCCGACTGAAAATCCAAATTATGAACACCATGAAACTCAATCAGCCTGAATGTTCGCCTTGGTTTTGAGGAATATAGATATTCATACATAACTTCAGAAAACCGATACTACTGAAGGAAGTTCGATGCAACTATTGAGTGGATTAACCTCCTCTTCCCAGGATCATAATATTACAGATGACCGATATTTAATTTACGTTATTCAAAGTTTTCGAACAACATGCATTAGGAAAACATATATGAATGAAAATAACAAAAAGTTACCAGGAACAATTTTCGGAAACGAAATAAGCTTGATACATAATAATGAGCTTTGCTCAATGACAATCTGCAAAAAGGCCATAAGTTTTCGGGATTTGATCTAGTCGTATTTTCATGGGTGTTACCGTGTTTTTTATATAAAAACCTTGTCTGATTCGTAGACAAACGGAACTCCCGGATGATTTGTGGAGAAAATGTGTTCCTCCGGTGTCCCTTTATCATATTTACTTGAAAAACCTTGACAGGCTAAATACAAAAGATTATTTCAACGAACCTACTCAATAGGGGACTTACGGTGGTGCAAAATATCAAGAACTTCCATAATATATTTTTGAGTCGAAAAGAGAAGAAGACAACCTTTATTAATTTTTCACTTTTATGCAGGGAAAATCTTAAAAAGGTTTCATTAACCCAAATGCCGGTTATGTATGGTCCATGAGATTATGACTTCAATGGGTTGCTTTTATACACATGACATTGCTCAACTTATTGAAGAACTTGACCTGAAGTCGGAAGTCAGTGAAATTACACTCCTGGTTCCATTTTTACGGTATGCTCACAGTGTTGAACAAGTATGCTCAAACTATACAAATTCTGAAGTTCATTTCGTCCTAATATTTTGCATACTTCAGTGTTGCTACCTAAATCCACTGTGTGTATGGTATTGGTGATATTCGTTTTTGCAAATCAAATTACTTTGCAAAGCCATCACGGATCACGATCTGCCACTCTAGGTAATGCTTTTGCGAGCAGCTTGTATTTTCCCCTTAAATGCCATCCGAAAGAGCGACAGGTTCACCTGCATTGAAGTACATGGGAACACGTACTGATCTGACTGTTTCCTTATTAGCTTCGTACATAAATGAGAGAATTATGAATTTATAATATACATGCTGGTTATTTAACTTACGATTTATCACTTCACGGACTTGTTTGCCTGCGTTTGGTACTACATATCAGGAAAGAAAGTTTGTAATGGGTGTTATCCCACAAATCAATACTTTTGTCGAACAACTGGTGAACATTTGAACAATTGAATTCAAGAGACCTGTTAACTGGAGATGCTTTTATTATTCAAAAAAATCCTTATTCCTGAGTGTCTGTTATTACTTTCTTCTATGAAAAACCTCTTGCATGCAATTCAAAAACAATCCGGAGCATAATCTTGCATAACCCTTTTTACTGTTTGAGATTGTCCATCATTTAGATACAAATGCTCATGTTTCTAGACAAACTTATCTACAATGTGTAACAGCAAATTGAAGAGAATGGCTAGCGCCCATCAAGTCGTGCAGCCGCGGTGCACTTTGATGGTGTAACTGATTGATTTGAAATAAGTATGTGTTAAATCTAGAGTAATATGAAGCACAGAAGAAACAGTTTACTGAAAGGACGTGAGGCGGAGATGTATCAATTACCCAATCTTCAGTAACGGTGGCGCTGATTGCCATTCTTGGAAGATAGCTACCAAGTTTTCACGTGTCTTTTCCAGCTAAAAACTGTGACACTTTGTTACAGAGGTTGAAAAACCATCACTGGAAATAGAAATGAGGGGTGTTGGAACTTCACTCCATAAGCATCTGCATTCTCCCTTTAGAAGTATTTTGTTTCTATTAGTAATACAATAGAGTTTATTACTTGAACAACGATGTATTGATGAAATATCGGAGTCATTTCGCGAAAAAAATGTCGTGTGTAAGAGCCAGCTGTCGAAATTCTTTCAGCGATAGGCAAGTGAAAATGCGTACCATTGAGAATGAAACAGGTAACTAGTGAGCAAGCGAGAAACGCCACTTGCAATTAATACTTCGGGGCTTTGGGGAACCGACGTTGCCCGATGAATTTTACACATTCATTTGCCTCAAGAAGGTTAACAATAATGGACACTTCCGGTTGTTCAATACTCCTTGACCGGTAAGAAGTTGCCTCGAGAAAGTGATCATTTTGCGTGGTTTTACTTCAATGCCATGAATTATATCCACTGTTTTGATCTGATACAAACCCTAGAAACCGTAACTTTTGCCATATCACCGAGTGAAATTAATAACACTTCAAACTTAAAATAATATCAGGTTCGTTCTAGTCTGCATGTCATCTGATAAGCTCACAATAATCAAAAACTTCTAACGAAAAAAGGAACACTGGCCGATTCCGCGGTTTCCGTCGGGCGTCAAAGTAATGGAGCAACTTTGAACACTTCTGGGTTTGGAACAGCTATGCGACAGAATTTGTAACTACCAAGGTTTCATTTTTACAAAGTGTTTAGTCTTTCTGGGCACGCAGGAGCAGCGCAACAGATCACCAAAATAAACTGTTTGCTTTCTCTCTTGGAACGTTTATATGTCACACACTCACTCTTTGTGTGTGTGGGACTGGATCCCCAAAAATAAATTTACAATATCTACTTGTATATTCATAGTAGCTGTAATAAGTAAACATGAGTGAACGTGTTTGCGGGCAACAGGTTGTCACTTTCCAAAGTTCGTGAAGGCAGTGTGTTGTTTCTTGTAAACTATACGTTCAACTAACGACCAAGAGTCATCCAAGATAGATAGTGTTCCTCTAACAGTTATTATCCCAGGGTTCCAGCCCCACGCTGGATGCATGCTGTTGGCGAGTCACAAACAGAGGAAATTTTGTCCTGTCATCCAGATAAAATGCCATACTACTCATATCAATAATCCATGCTTGGAACCATTTGTTCCCGTTCCGAAGATTAGCCGTGCTAACCGACGAATTAACGCTAGAAGAATCGTAGTGTGATTTTAAAAATTGACTCCCCGTTCATGCGCTCTCCATTTGATTCAAATGAGATTACAGCTGTAAACCAGCTGTGGAGTGCTCAGGTATAAGAATGATTGGGCGGAAGAGTACCGGATGAGCATACCTGATGAGCGGCAATAACCGAGAAACTGGTCGTGTGATTCTGGAGGAACTTCGTCCTGTCATCCAGATACAATGCCATATCCAGAACAAAACAGCTTTACAATTCCTCACTGGGTTCACCGATGAGTTCAGCGCTGGTGAGTAATGGTGAGTCATACTATTTAAATTTTTTTACAAACAGCGTAAATAACTCCAAGGAGTATCTGTGCTTATTATATTTAACACTTACTTTTTCTCAAATGCGTTTTTAATGATTCCAGCAGTACTTCTGTAAGAAGTGTTTGATAGAAATGGAGCAGTTATGCAATACAGTGAAGACTTATTTGTGATACCAAAGTGGAATTATCATGGTCACTAGGTTTATTCTACCAACCTTTCTTCTACCGTAAACTATGGAATCAATTATTTAGAAAACGAGTTTTCGCCTTCCAGCAAATTAAAATCTGCTAACCTCGAGGTACCCTAAGGTTAGTGCATTTAAGCTCTGAATGCAATACCATATTACGGATATTGTACGCACTACACGCTCGAAGCCGTGCAGGGTAGCAAAATGTGACTCAAACCTGACACGATAACGTGTTTGAGAAGTGGAAAAAAAGACCCCGACCCAGAGAAATCGGTCACCCACCAGTTATACTGGTTGTGTCATAATGAAAGTTCCTCAAACTGGTAACATACCACACAGAAAAGGATATCAGCGGATTCGTTCAGGTTGAATTCACTTCCAAAGAAATCGTGAGCCTCTTAAGAAACTTGGAGCGAGAAACCGTTCATATACTCCAAATCACCTGTTTGGAATGAACAAGTTTGGGAAGTATATCACATCCTGGTAAACTATGCTGAGGAGTTCACTGGTATTGCACCAGTGCTGTTTTACCTGATCTCCCTACCAAACTGAATTGTTGTATGCCAAAGGGAACAGAACATTATCCACGCATTGGGGCTTCACCGCACTAAGTGTGATTGCGTTAAAACGGGAAATCTGTGATTATTTGCATCATGACCTGAATAAATCTTTGGTATTTTATAATCAGTCATCATTGATAGGCTCCACAGGCCAGTTAGTTTGTAGTCGAATGCAAGATGCTGCAATGGATGAGCATAAGCACGAATTCCTATTTTCGCAAAATAGTGCTTCTGCGTGTCCCTGGATTTTATCTGATCATAGAAAGATTTAAATAGAGGATTCACATGTGACACATGGAACCTTTACCTTAGAGTCCCCGACAACCCAATGAGATTTACTCGGACATGAAACCTGTCCTGTAAAACACGTTAAAACATTCAAGAATACTACCCGGATTGTTTAGGTTTTCACACGAATGGGCTTTCATGAGGTACCCAGAGCTGAAGGCGTCTGATAATAATAATTGAAAATATTTGTAACTCACCTTTCCGCGAAATGAATTCATTTTCAACTTACGTTCATTCCAAGACACGGCACGAAACCAAGATTATAAACGGAGTGATTTAAACAAAATATCTTACATATATTCAAATATGTTTATAATGTATACGATGTGTATGCAGTAGAATGACTGTGTTATGGTGACAGATTGCTCAATATTCAAATACGAAATAACTGAAATCTTCGTCAGTATCGTGCATGGAATGGAGACCGTATAAATACACAGCAATTCAAAAAATGCACTATTGTTATGAAGGAGTGATCGCGGAATACTAGATCTTAAAAGGGATCAGGGTTACCAAGATACCCGTAAATCGCCAGGACAGTTTTCATTTTTTATTACTGCACATAAATCTATTCATTCTCACCAGAATTAGCTGTGGGAGTGAGACATTGGGCATAATAAGGTATGAAACGATGACAGTTTTCTTGTTTGAATAATGTTACAATAATGAAAATACAATGTTCTTTGAAGGAAATGTATCCACTTTCCCAATCAATACCGTGAATAAAACGTAATTTTGAAGAGCAGCCTACCTCTGAAGAAAGAAAACGTATAAAAACAACGACATTGTTCAGAAAATTGATTTTATCTACCGGTTTAGCTCTAACCGCATGTAGATTTCTACTTCGAATCACTGTACTCCAAGTAAAATAACAAAAAATTGTAATTGATAGTGACAACACAAACGACTAATGCCGTCTTTTATCAGTATATCGTATATCCGTATAATCCGTTATACATAAGACTCGACGAAACAACACTACTAAAGGGGATAATGGTCTCAGACCTTGAAAACAACTAGAATATGTCTATTTCACCCTATACTGTCGTCGGAAACTGACATGGTTATTGAGTAATCTACAATTCAACTCTGAAAATAGTGTCTTTTCTTGGTAACTCCAAGGTGGCCGTCCTAAGATTACGATTCAGTTAAGTTGAGATTCAAAATTACGAACTTGCTCGCACAAAGCTAAGACGAAGTTTGCAACGCGCACTTTTATTCCTAACTATTTTTTGCACACTCTGCTAAAAGTATTTCTTTCTACTTGTATGTTCACTTTACGAAAAACACAAAAAAAGTGCAAAAAGTGTAACAGATTCCTTTCATCAGAACTAGTATAGTTTTCATCAGATCCAAGACAAACTTCCGTCGCCAAACTGAAGTAGTCACCTTTTGCTGCAGCAAATGGATTCAGAACAGTCAAAGTTACCTATTTGTTTATTGATTGCTTTCTTTTATTAGAAGTGCCAATCTTATGGGAAGAGAAACACTTTTTAAACCTTCAGAATCTAAAGGTGAGTTGAAGTTATTGAATTTCAGGGTACTCTATGACCACTTTTATTCATTCAAAAATGTTTATTTATGGTTGCGAAAATGGAGAAAGCTCCGCTGGATTGACACTGATATTCCTCTTTATATTGTGGGTTTTGGTACACGCAATAAGTTTTGACGGCTGTAAGCGTCATCCCGATCTAGAAAACACTCTTTACTGTCAAAAGAAATTGCTGACATATTTAAATCAAACAAAACCTAATGGAGCACATTATACTTCAGGGTACTGCAGTAGGTCGTTTCACAAGGAATTTACATTATTTCAGACCATATTCCCAATTTGAGATCTACCTGAATTCAAGCAGTAATGTCTTCCTCCTCAGTGTCAACCAAATATTGTGATTTTCAAAATGTTGTTCCGATGTGGCACTGATGTACCAGACCATTTGCAAAAAATTGATCAACAAGCAGTATTGGTTTGCGTAAAACCTACCGAGCTTCGGCTTATTGGCCATACAAAAATGTGTAAATTAAAAAACCCAAATTTACAATAACCTTACTCAACCCCTTTGACTGTGATCCAATAATGTTTGGGAATTGTACGTGAACATATAACTCTGTTTCATCCACATGGAGCCTAGAATGCATGCAGCTCATGGTGTGTAGGCAATAACTATTGGCATTAAATCATTCCAAAGATTTATATGAACCAAAATAGATGGATTACAAAAGAGGGAATGAAAAATGGTTCTAAAATTATACTGATTTGGGCAAACTCCTTTACTGACGGGTACGGCATATTATAGCTCCAGTTTTTTCCACTGTCGTCCGGAAACTGACACATCCTGCATATAGACTATCACTTTGGACGTTCCGTAAGTAAGTACCAGTACGACGTAGTAGCCAGCGCGTCAATGAGAATGGAAGCAGTGCGAGATTAGGTCTATTTATATATTTCACTATATGTGTACGTGATATCACACCGAAATGTATTTATTGGTTTACTTTGAGTGATAATTTCCCGATTTACCAAAATTCACTTTTGGTGAAAATTCACACACTATTATCTAGTACGGTCTCCATATCAGATCTCTAAGAGTATGGATAGGTATTCAAGTAAATCGCATGAGCGATTTGTTGTTTTTCAGTTCTGTTGCTACTGTGAAATTAAGTTTCAAAATTTCATTCTGTAGGAATGTTTGCTTTTACAGGCTTTTTGTTCGATATATTTGTCCATATCGGTTTGGCATTTTAGAACCAAATGAAATTACCAGTGCTCTCCTTGATCAGCTATGTTACAAGCCTGCTACTCACCGAGTCGTCGTTGTGAGAGAATGTATAAACGTTGTATGACAAAAATAAAAGTTGCAAACGTTTTGACTGCTACTCACAGGGAGACATCGTTTCAAAATCTGCAAGACAGTATAAGGGGATGAGCATTTAGCAGAACGTGGTCTTTCATAATGCAAGGACAATTACAGCTTACATCTATTTCAGCCTGAATATTCCTTTCATAAGTATGACTATTGTAAATACTTGCAGTGCTGATGATCAACGCATCGAACTTTTCAGAGATGCAGCTCAAAGTTTTACCACTCACGTGTTTTTATGTATTCGGTGACTACAGGCAAAAAAAGAGAAAACATTCATCCGAGTCAAACAATGGTTGAGTCAGTAAATTCATTGCAAACGATAGCCCGAAAACTATTTCTCATAGTTACAGATATGGTTTTGATGGAGGAATCGGAAATGCCTGGTGTCCATCTTACTACAGTGAATTACGTCAGAATGAACCGCATGTCCATCTATATTTGATTTTATGAATCATTTTTCACATCTTTTTGTGTGAATACTTTTTGAAATGATTTTTGTGAATAAAGTAGTTATAACTAGTGATTACCCGGAAAATGTTCTTGCCGTAAACAATTACGCACTTTACTACGGCGAATATTGCTTAGTCGTTGATTTAACCTTCAACCGCTTGAACAACACAAACCCTTAACGTGATTTCATGGGTTATATTTGACTACAAGTGACTATGGTGACTATGGTGGTCTCGGACACAGAACTTATCCAAGTTGAGAGGAACTCCTATCTTAAAAAAGGAGTCCACTTTACTCCTTTCCGCCTGTAGCCGAAAGTATTCAAACTACCGCGAAAAGATTCAGTTAGCCCCACATTAGAGGAATTCATCTGCTTTTGAAAGTCGCCAAAAATTCAGCCATGCAGGATTCGGTGAAATGCATGAATAAATAAATCTATTTGATCATTGCACACATAAAATTGTCTGAACTTTTGAAGCTGGATTTCATGAAGAGCGAAGCAAACTGATTCACGTTTTCACAGAAAAACTGTAAAATTATTCTAAGGATTTCTAACAAAATACTCGAATGCACCGAATGGTGTACGGAATGTATCGAAAATGGGATGCACCATGTGTTGTTTTTATTGTGAAAGTGATGATGTTATCAACACAGCCTTGCTGGTAGATGTAATTCGCCAACGTTTCGGTTACCGTGGGTAGCCTTTCTTAAGGCAGTTTAAGAATCAAATAACTTTGGGAACGTTCACATTTACACGGATATTTGGTTGTGGTTTGGTGTGTGCGTATGTGTGCGTATGAGTGAGTATGGGTACATTCATTTGTGCGGTGGGTAAGTGATTCGTTGTCTTTCACACCGTACTCGTCGATGGTGGCTAGGTCAGTTAAATTTGTGACCTTTGGGATGCTTATTCGTCAGTGAGATTATGGATGTGCAAATCTCGGGAAATCTCTGCTGCTTCACTGCTATTGACACATTCGGAGTTGGTTCTTATCACCAGATCCTAAGCAGACTTCCACTCAGTGCATGTTCTGAATCGGAGTTGGAGTATTTTCGTGTGTTCATAATCGATGATATGACTCTCTGCTGTAGCGTAAAGAGCAATGTCTGAGTATCGTTCCAGTTTTGCTAAGGCTGTCTTGTGAGAAGGTATGCATTTTTCTTCTCTTTTACTTTCGGCTATTTTGATCTTCATTGTCTGCTGGTTTGTCCGATATACTCAACCAGAGAATCTTTACAACTGATTTTGTAGATACAGTTGTTGTGGTCTTGCGGGTTGATTGGGTCTTTGTATCTGTGAGGTGGCTTTTTAGGTTTTGATCCGCGAGGAATCATGTACAATTATTGATGTCTCCGACTATCTTTCTGATTGCCTCAGAAGTGCCTGATCTATTTGGAATTCCCGTTGGAGTCTCTATCTCTTTTTCTTTCTTGGTCTCGGGGGTCGGTCCGCCAAAGGCCAATTGATTTCTTGTAAGATGTAGCGGATAGTCCATGTCTTGTAGGACTTTTTTTGAGCGTCAGTTCTGTTTTACCATGATGTCTTCATTGCGGAATTTTTCAACTCTGTTGGCTAATAAGATGGCTGTTCGCTCCACACTTTGTGGATGAGCTGAATCGATATGCAAATACTTGTCCAAATGCGTGGGTTTTCTATGAACAGTGGCATTGCACTTTAGTGATTCACTCACTTCTAGAGGGCAGTACAAGAAACTGATGACTTAACTGGTGCTTCTGTCTCTATGGTCAAACTTGTACAACTGCCTTGTTGGTTGAGAAAGTGGAGGAATCTACTCTGTTGTTCTGATTTGATAACCATCAAGGTGTTGTCAGCATAGGGCATATCGAGTCTTGGAGAGGAAGGGGGGAGGGAGTAGAAGTCATTAGTGCGTTAGAATAAATCGAATGCAGAAAAAACTCCCTGCAATGAGGGATATGGGGAGTCTTATCAGTTCGTCTGTACAAATCTAGTTTGAAAGTGAAGGATGTTGGTTTGAGACAAAGTTCTTTGCCCTGTAATGATTTCTGATGGGGTCAGTGAAGTTTGTTCTTCTAACAAACCTTGGGAAGTCAGCGAAGAATGTGCGTAATTTAAATTGTCTTTAGTAGGTACTCTTGTAAATGAGAAAATTACATCAAAACTCACAGTAATTTCATCATATTTTTAGTTCGAAGTTTTAAAAGCACGGGCAATTTCAAAGGTGTCATTGATGTGACTTATCATTTTTATAATAAATACCCTAATGCGTTAATTGTTTTCACAGATCTCAACATTTTCTAACTCCTAAAAATATTGTTGATCTCCAATTTTTCATTGCAATTTTCCCTCGAAGCAAATGTGTTAGACAACAAGGGAACAAAAAGAAAACCCTATTGTTCCTAAGAATATCATTCTTAGTACTGTGCTGTCCAGAAAATTCTCGAGTGGTCAGCTTAAGTGAAACACTCTGTGGTAAATGGATACTTTTAGAATAACTTCTATTGTTTATTTTCTGGTATCCATCGGATGGATAATATTAGGAGCGACTGCTGAATTCATAAATCAACATTATACTCACATAAATCCTTGAAGCTTAAATTCCATAGGTCTAGAAACAGAAACAGTGAATATTATCAAGCATAGTACATGTTAGATGCTTTCAGTACAAATCACCTAAAGATCAGATGTGACTTTTTCTATGCAGTCAGTCACAGTACCGAATTAACTGTGTATGCAAGCATCTAGAAAGATTTCACCAAAACATTGGGTTTAAATAAGGGTATGTTATTCTCACGGACCATCGACTTTCATGTACCCGAATGTTATCATAGCATCACCATTCGTATTATATTAAATATCAAATGTATTGCACCTATTTGTGATAAGATTTTATTAATACATTTTTGTGAAGCTTATTTTAGAATCAGGTTTTAGTCACAATGAAGAGTAATAAATATTTTCCCAATAACGAATTAGCCACTTTACCCGTACGTTTTCTTTCAAAAAACAAAACAAGAGATTTCACCTGTAAAGCATGTTGTCGAAGTTCAGGAATTCGAAGCAAACTTTCAGTGTGCCATATTAAACTCACTTTCATTAGCCTGCGTGGTGAATACAACCGCGAACAAAAGGATAATGAACATTTTGAGTGATACTTAAATGATGACTAGGTCCGACTGAATGTTCTTCTTTAAATACTATGTTGAACAGATCTTGATGGACTGGTAGCGATGAGATTCGAATTTGTAGTTCTTAAAATGAGAGACAGTAGGACAGGTTAGTGTCAAAAGAAGCCAATGAGCTAGCTCCTAAAATCATGCGAGCAGAGCAAGCATGATGCCAACAAAATTGATCTATCGATCTAAATTGGCAGAAATGAAGTTGTATTTTTTTAAAAACATGTTCGCTTCACCTGCTTCTGTGTGGTTCTGTTCAGCTAACAAGGGCATAACAGTACTGTTGTGCCTTGTTAAAGTTTCGCACACTACGCGGACAACCGATTAATATTCCTCTGATGAATGAACGTACGCTTGATTTGCCTTGATCTCTAATCATGCTTTAACGCCAGCAGTATTGACCTATCGATTTTTGCTGTGTACTGATTGGTCTTACTTTGTTGCGCGTGACAGCACTTGTAGTTTAGTTTTTGATGCCAACTCACGTGTTTGCTTGCCACTTACTCGCCGGCTACAGCCGCTTTTTGTGTTTATGCTGGTGCAAATAAGTGCAGTGACAACATTGCGTGTTCTGCTACTAACTACGGACACAACAAAAATGAACCTCTCTACGATGTGGTTATCCCGCTATGCACTTGTAATATAGCGGTCCGTGATTGTGATTCTCGGTAATGTACACAAACGGCGGCAGCGCAAGATTTCTTCACTTCAGATAACCGTAAATGGGATACTTTTCGGCCCCATTTCTATTGCATGTTTAGCCTACAAAAAAGCATAAAAGAATACATATCAAATGAAAAATATCTTTTGGTTTGAAATCTGAAGAGAATCACGGCGGAAGTTATTCACATTATTAAAAAAATGGTGATAGTTGTCACAGCCACATCTAGTAAAAATGGAACAATCGCAGTACTTATATCAGGCCTTTGCATAGTAGCATCTGTACATACCAATCACCCGAAAGCACTAATTATAACATGCTGTGCTAAACGACTTTATTTGCTTTGGCTCGTACAAACAAAAAGGAGCGCGATTTTCATAAACGTTTGTGACCATATTTACCTTGTCAGTAATAATAGTCTAACCCGCATGGGTTAAATCATCGGAAGTTTTGTTTGTGCGGTACACAACTGATTGTGCGTGGTTTTTGTAACATAACCGTTGCTATTTTTCACTCATATGTGTAATAAAATTTCCGATTAGTCAATTTGGGGTTAGGTGAAGATTTTGGTTTCGTCTCGTACATAATAAGTAAAGACGTAGTAAAACCAAAGTGGATCGCAGATGATATACACGAATGATTTTGTCCAATCAATTTAGCTCATAATCTGACTGGTAGCCCATGTGAATGCATATCGAAAATATTCAATAAATTAGGATACACTGCACGTGACTATACTGAAGAATCCACTAGAAGTTCTAAACTGGGGCGAGCCCAGGTAATACCTTCAGTTATTTAAGGAGGAACCAAAACGGGTCACTGCAATAATGCGTAAAAATTTTCGTATCATATGCATACATGGAAAACAGACAATCATTGTTTTCCCTCAATACTAGAGAAGACATGCCGTGGTCATTTGCGATTCTTTAGAGCCAATAAAAACCCACGCAAGGGAAAATAAAGACGGCCAGAATTTCTCAATTACCGATCTTCTTTCGGGAAAGTGACACATTCAAGATGTTCTAGGCCCCACATGAAATCAAAACAATGTAGCTTATCCGTGACAAAGTTGGCAAACAATGGATAAAAATAAGTGAGTCTACATATTTGCCGTTGTGTAAATCATTGTCACTGTGTTGTAACCATGTAACACAACACTGACAGCATTCGAACGAGTGTTTTCGAAAAAAAAGCCTAATAGAGAAATCAGAAACAATTTTAAACGATGTGCCAAAGAATTTCGCTGTATCGGCATCTGCACACGTGCATGATGTAATCTGGGTGATTTGTCTACAGCTCTGAACAGCCTAAAAACAAAGCTAAACTCGCACTTGGAAAAAAGACTTGAAGTTGAGACGTCGCGGCAACAAATTATTCTCATCTGGGGTAAAACATTTCGGGTATCTTGTGCGACAAACACACTAGAAATACCATCACTATACAATATGCATCTTAATGCAATCAACAGAATATAATTTTCGAGGTGCAAGCTCTTCGTTAACTTCATTCTGATTGATTGCGTGTAACAAGCAGTTTAAAAATGAAATAGTACATCGGGTTCCCATTCGAGTGAAGAACAAATTGTAGATAACACATAAGTCAAAAATATGTATCAGGCTGCGTGGTTACTGCCGGGGAGGACAGACCGACTGTAGGCATTGTTTCTGTACACACAGTGCCGATGAGCATATCTTCATTACAAAACTATTGGTTTATCAATTCCACTGCCAAACCACACTCTGAATAACCGGATCAGGTCATCTTGATGACATGTTAAAAGTAGATGCTTCGCGATAGATGATGCTGGATATCTTGGTTTAATTTGACCTCTTCACTCCAACTAAATCATTTAGCGCATTTGCCGTTTTGGGATTTGTTCAGTCACACCTTCAGCCAAATATTGTTCTGTGCTTCCAGTCGGCGTATCACACTACCTTCGAATGTATTGGTAGATTCAGTCAGAAGAGGATAAATTTGAAGTATATGATTGAACCCTAATCTTTCAATGTTCCAAACTGCTCATTTGGGCTCCAAAAAACGCTCAGTTACGAGGTCAGCTTCAACGATAACTCAGAAAATCCAAAATGTGGTCTTCTTTAAAAGTAACAAATGAGATTACGTTCCCTAGTAGAAGTGCCAATGAGTGGTCTGTTTTGTATTGCTGTTTACTGCGACGATGAGTGAACGTTGCGGGATAACCGTTATCGACTAGGGTTTTATTGTTACGATCTACACTTGGCGGTTAAAACTAGTACCCATCTCTCGGGACACTAAACAATGACGCGTTTTGAAAACTACTACATAATTATAAATGTTCTGCAGGAAGACAAAAGCAACTTCCGCAAACGTTTTCGATTTTATGGGAAAAGCGGTTCATCCGTGCAGGGTGAACAACAGACTGGTTTCTCGAAAGATCTCGAGCCGCATTCAAGATATCACTGAACTCTGAAACAAGAACACTACCGGGATTGTACTTCATACTATTAGGGATAAGAAAATCAAACATGATCGGGTTGATCCTGTGTCTGCAACGCATACGAGAACAGAACATGTAGCTTCACACTATTAGAAATATGTCCTTCTTCTCACGTGATTTTCCGTTTAATGGGTTTACAATCTTGAAACAAAGAGTACTCTATTTTTATTGTCGTCAAAGTTAGACTTCATCTAATAAATATTTAGCTCATAATTACATAACATGTCCTTATGTTGCCATCATATTTCATGTTTGAGAACGTTTCACGTGATTTTATCCTCACGTTAGCCACTCTCAATATCATAATAAATTTCACTCACAGAAGCTGAGTTTTGTTTTACAAAACATCTTGTGATAAAAGTGAAATGATTTTTTTAAAGGTATCGTTGTTTTTTCTACATTTTGTATTGACATAACTAAAAACGTATAACTGGTTTCATTATTTTGAACAGTCCCTCAAAAGATTATTTTGTACACCGATCTATACAATCAGGATATTGAACAATATTTGATACTTTCATATAAACTTCAGATGAATTTTTTTATAAATAGTTGCCGAGAAGTTAGAGATTCAGAAAATCAACCTTGGTCACTGGAGATAGGAAACCATCATCTAATTTGTGGCGGCATTTTTGAAGGTGACGAACAGAAGGAAATCAATATTTGTAATACTACAATTTATAAAAACACCTGAAGTCCACGGAATAAGTCACCATTCACGACTGGCGCGATAGACTTTCCATGTTAATGTATTCCGGAAATTTGGAATTACTTTAAGTTGATGAGTGACTCGTAGAGAACAGATAACCCATTTGGTCCAGAAGACGAATTATTCCAAACCCGCTTGTAAGAGCAGAGTCAAAAAGATACGTTTACGTCCCTAATAGTGATTTGTCCATCAACAGTAACTGGGAGTAAACCAACGAGCTAAACAAGGGAAGCGAAAGCGCAAAAAATTCCGAAGTGAGTCGCAGCAACAACGAAAGCACCCAGTGCAGGCTTCGCTACTCTTAGGGAGACTAGCAGGTGGCAGACATTTACATAACAACCAAAATGTAGGCAAAATGGCAGATGTCCGGGACATAATGACCACACACAGTTGTGAATCTAGTTGGCATGGTAGGGGTCAGCAGTGGGAGTTCAGAAAAACAAGCTCAACAGTGCCGGAGACAGCAGTATCCTTGACGAACGTTCAAGTCATAATCACAGTCAAACTGGTGGGCGAACGCAGTAAGGGAGAAGTTCACTCGAATTCCGTTCAGCAACACATGGGGAAAGGCAAGGCTGGTTGGCAGGTGGTAATCTTATCTTAGCGAGAGAAAGAGAAAGAGAGAAGGGCCACAGAAAACCAGTCATGCAGGAAGAGACGAGGAGTGGAAAGAATAAATGGTCATAATATATTAGCGAACAGCGGGAGTTTATGTGCACCAACAAGTGGGATAGAATTTCATGACTGCTCCGGTTAAGCGAAATTTCAACGAGTAGAAAGATGGTCACTCTGAAGTATTATAGTTCTTATTGTTGTTATTATCAATACTAGTACTATTATTATCGTCATTAAACAGCCACGTAAAATGAACGTACTTCATGACTTTGAAATAGTCCCCAAGAATTTGTCTAATGATAAGTTGTAAACAATAAATTTTGTTTGAATGTTTGCCTTGAAAAAGGTTGCCCGCGGTAAGCGAAACGTTGGTTTAATACCATTTCTACCGATAATGCTGTGTTTAGAACTATAAAAACATTCGGTAAAGCCACAAGGCATGGCACATCGATTCTTCGATACACTCCAAACCTCGTTTGATCCCGATCTACCCAATAAATTTTACA